TCTTAAGCTTAAGCCATTCTTGTGTTCCAGAATGACGACGCCATCCCTTAGATGTGCTGTGTAACTTATTCAGTGTGCTAGGGTTTTGGGTTTGAGTGTTTTACATGAATCCTCACTAGGAAGACTGCTCTGTGCCTGCATTCCAATGCAGTCTTGTTGGGGTTTGATAGGAAGGCTTTGCTCACTTCAGGAACACATTTTTAGTTTTTTACAAGCAAACGTCACCATTCGCGTTGACTGTTGTAATCATTACACTTGGTCTGCTGAGGCTCCAATCTGCTCCCACTCGAAATAGCTGATTAGATGCTCTGAGACTTTCTAAATGATTTCCTGTGCCGAGAATCTACTCTCCCTCCATGCATGACAAGGGTTCCTCTCATTGAATCTTCACATCCGTTCAATGGGGTAGACCTTTACAGCTGAGAAAACTGAGACCTCCGAGGGGGACGGTGGCAGAAGTCAGTCGTGAGCAGGGTAACTTCTAGGCTACACTGGAAGGAGCCCTGGTGGCACAGTGGTTAAGCACTCAGCTGCTAACAGAAAGGTCGGTCATTTTCAAACACAGGGGAAAAAACTTGGCAATCTACTTCTTTACAGGTGACAGACAGGACACTCTACAGACACAGTTCTCCTCTGACACACAGGGCCACTGTGGGTCAGTGTCCACTAACCACACCGCAGACTCCTCCGCACTGCTGCTCCGAGTCTTCGAGCATTCTGGTGCTCCATGGTCCCCTCATTTGGTTACACTACACTTGCCGGACCTGCTCACAATTATTTCATGTTGATGGCCTGGCCAGGCACTAGCTCCGCTTTTTCCTCGTTCTCACGAGCGAGTCCGACATTCCACCGGCATCCTTCATCCTGTAATTGCTACCTCTCTAAATACAAAACATGGGCTGCTGGCCCTCCACGTTCAAGACACAACTTGTGTCTGACGATTTAGCCCAAGGGATGAGACCAAAACATGTGCAGGAGTGAACAAAACCAAAGTTATAGTTGCTCAGGGCACTGCTTGACGGGCAGACAATAGGGCTGGTGATGTGCAGGTGACAGGAGTGCCCTCGGGGCTGCCCAGGTGGCTCTGATAGGGGAATGGGGGCAGGGCATTTCTAGATGCAAAGAGGGAAGCTGTGTCTGACCTTGAGTGCTCCAGCAGGGACAGGGATCAAGGACTCCCGCAGGCTGAGGTCAAGAAACCCGGTTGGTCCTTCTCTGCCAGCGCCTGATTCATGCCATTTTACTATGGCTCATTTTATTCTTCTTCTGTGATGTCAACAATGCCATGGACCCTAATGGCCCGGTGGGTTAAATTCTGGGCTTCTAACCACAAGGTTGGCGGTTCAAACCCACCAGCCCCTCCATGGGAGAACGATGAGGCTGTTCTGCCATAAAGATAAGATGGCAGTCTTGGAAAGAAATTCCGTGGACCCTTTCTGCTTTGATTCATGGGGTCGCTGGGAGTGGGAGGGGTCTCAGTGGTTTAGGTGTAAATACAGCAGATGTGAAAGCCGTTCTCAACCATCTGTGGAAGGGTTGCCAGCTACAGACAATGGGCTAGAGCTGGCCCACTGACTGTTTTTGTAAAGAAAGCTTTATTGAAACACAGTCATGCCCGTTTCTTTTTATCTGGCTGTTGGCTTCTGGCATGCTACACCGGCATAGTGGAGAAGCAACAAAAGAGGCTGAATATTCCACCAGACTGAAATATTTACTCTTTGTTGACTCCAGATGTATACTAACTTGTCTTATTATTTCATTAGTATAAATGCTTGGTGTGGAGCTATAGGATCAGCACTGGACTGATAACTGCAAGACTGGCAGTTCAAACCCACCAGCTGCTCCTCAGAAATCCTACACCAGGCCACTATGAGTTGGAACGGACTCAATGGCACATTGATATCAGTCAGCCAGATAGTTGTCTTCCAAATTTCTTGGCATAGATGAGTGAGTGCCTTCAGTGCCGCCTCACTTTCTTGAAAGATTTCTATTTTGTATTCCATCAATTCCTGGTGCCTTGTTCTTTGCCAATTCCTTCAATGCACCTTGGATTTCTTCCTTCAGTATCACTGGCTTTTGATCATATGCTACCTCTTGAAACCATTGAACATCAATCATTTCCTTTTGTTACAGTGACTCTGTGTATTCTTTCCATCTTCTTTTGATGCTTTCTGCATCATTCAATAATTTTTCCAGAGAATAAACAAACAATTTTTGATAAAGGAAAAGAGGGTAAATTGCTACAATTTGAAGAACTTGACATATACTCATCAAGACAGTAGCTCAGAATACCAACTGAGAGGGAAGGAACCTTCACATCAAGTCCGAATGCTATCCCCTTTGTATACAGGGTAAATGGGGATGGGAAACTTAGACACTGATTACCTAAAATGAAGGGCAATAAAGGCACAAAGTGACTGGCTTAGAAGTTTTCAAGAGGGAGTTTAGTTTCAGAATGTGCGGAGGAAAGTAGAGTCCCCACTGAATAATTTTCATCTTGTCTAGATGGGTCTAGTGAAAGGAGATGAGGATAAGATTCTTATGATTCATTAGTGAGTAACTGTTATCATGACTAATTGCAACTGTCACAATTGCACAGGTAGAAGTTTTGTAAAAAAAAAACGGAGGAGTAGTTCAACTTACAGTCCAGGGACAGAGGACCCTAGGATCATCAAGGGAGAAGAGCATAAGCGGAATTTGGGACCTTATTCAGAGAAGCAGTGACACCAGAGATGGAGGCAGATATGGGACATGGAGAAAGGGAACAGGTGAGGACTCTGGACTCATAGAAAGAGAAAGGCAGGCTTGTAGAATGTGCCTTTTGGTTGTTTAAATGACTATATGTTCCTGGATGTTTTTGTGTATATCCCCCTACTCCATCCCCCCAAACAACAACAACAACAACAACAACAACAACAACAACAACAACAACAAAAACCAGAGGGAACAGAAGCAAATACTGTTGAATGCTGATGCACGGAGGCGATTGTAATCACTGCACTGAAACAATGTTGTAAAGCTGGTGTTCTCCCATGTAAACTATCACTCAGTTCACAATGAAAACATTAAAAAAAAAAAAGTAAGGCAAGCTACCCACCATTAGAGGTGTTTTAAAAACAAACAAACAAAAAAACTTTTGGATATTTTTATGCATTTATTCTTCCACACAAACTTGAGACTCATTTTGTAAGTTAAAAACCTAGGGTTTCTTTTCATTGGAATTACAGTAACTGCGTAGAATACTGGACAGAGAATGTATGGTTGTACTTTATTGAAAAACATGTCATCAGGATTGGAGGAAGACTCATTAACTGCTTGCTGAACTGCAAAGAGGACTTAAAATACTTACTGATAAAGATCAAAGACCACAGTCTTCCATATAGATTGTAAAGAAAACAAAAATCCTCACCACTGGACCAATAAACAACATTCATGTATACAGAGAAAAGACAAGCTGTCAAAGACTTCATTTTTCTTGGATCGACCATCAACACTCACAGAAGCAGCAGTCAAGAAATCAAACAACGTATTGCATTGGGCAAATCTGCTGCACTAAGACCTTTTTAAAGTGTTGAAGAGCAAAGATGTCAGCTTGAGGGCTAAGGTGTGCCTGACCCAAGCCACGGTATTTTCAATAACCTCATACGCATGTGAAAGCTGGACTGTGAATAAGGAAGACAATAAAAGAATTGATACATTTGAATTATGGTGTTAGAGAAGAATATTGAAAGTGCCATGGACTGCCAAAAGAACAAACAGATCAGTATTAGAAGAAGTACAGCCAGAGTGCTCCTTGGAGGCCAGAAGTTAATGGTATGATGATGGGGAAGGGCACAGGAAATGAGATTGAGAAATGAGAACATAAAACTCACGGCGACTCTATGTAATACAGATGAAAACTACTCCATTGGATTTTCTTGGCTATAATCCTTACGGAAGCGGTTCTCCAGGTATTTATTCTGTGGAGCAGAAGAAACCTTCGGAGAGGGTTTGAACCACCAACCTGTCCCTTAGTAGCCAAGAAGAAACTATTTGAGTATGAATATAAACTCCCAAACCAAACCCATGGCTTACGGTGGTCCTATAAGGTGGTGTTGCAGGATAATGCACTGGTCCTCAGGGTCAATTTGAGCCAGAAAGTTGGTGGTTCAAACCCACCAGCTGATCCTCAGAAACCCTATACAGGATCGGTATGAGTCAGAACTGACTCGACAGGACTTAACAATAGCAACATAGGACCTGCAGTGTGGCGCTGTAGGATCAGCACTGGACTCTTAGCCAAAAGGTCGGCACTGACCACCTCTATTTCTGTTGTTGGTCTTGTCACCTCTCTTATTTTCCAGTGCTACAGTATTTTATGCTGCTTCCCAGAAACCCTACACGTGGTCACTATGTATTGGAACTGACCCGATAAGACTTAACAGCCACAACAACATAGGACAGAGTAGAACTGCCACATATTGTTTTAAAGCTGTCACCTTTACGGAAGCAGAGTGTTGCATCTTTTACCCGATGGTGGGTTTGAACCGCTGAACAATCAGTACGTAGCTGAATGCTTCATTAGTGTGCCACCTAGGCTCCTTGAGAATATAAAGAGCTCCTGAAATGAAGTTCTTTGGAATTTACTGAGAACGTGAACATTGCACGTCATCATCGTTCAGCGGGCAGGAGAGAAATTTGAGTGTATTAGTGAACACAGGAAATATTTCCTAGTAAACACAGGTTAGGAGAATCCCCGGGACCTAGTAACACTGGAGGAGTCCTGGTATATTGCTGCAGGATAATGCACTGGGCCACAAAGTTGGTTTGAACGGCAAGGTCGGTGGTTCAAACCCACCAGCAGCTCCTCAGAAACCCTGTACAGCGTAGCTATAAGCCGGAACCAACTTGATGGCACTTAACAGCAAAAACAATAACCGTGGGAGCCCATTTATTTTGAAATGTAAAGAAATCTGACCATAATGTGTTGACTACATTTTCTTTCTTGAGCGCATTTCTACCTGCTGTGGGGTCTTGTTGGAGAAGATGAGCGCCGAGCCTCCTTCTTCTATGTTAGGGTAGTCAGGAAATGCACCTGTTAAATTCCTGAGGAGAAAAGACCTCAAATTAGCCCAGAAGCCATGCGGTCCTCCTTGTCACGCACACCACTCGCTGGCTCGACTTGTGTTCAACCACAATAGTGATGGTCAGGGGCGGAGGACCCAGTTAGTCAGGTAAGCACAAGCTGACTTGTACTTACTTACCCAACTGCCATGAACAGTTCACATGGGATGTGGTGACAAACATGAAATTGTCAGTATAAGACAGCCGGTGCTTACCTGGCTGACTGGGTCCTCCGCCCTCATCTGGGATTGTAAATTGGAACGGAGACTTTGATTCTGGAGGAAGGGTCTGTGGGGTAGGGCAAGAGACAGATGCCAGCCAGCCCTGGAAGTGGAATCTTTGATGCGATTAAGAAACAAGAAAACAGTGAAACTGCTCACCACAGATCGGCAAGTAAACACAAGTCAGCCCATGCTTACCTTGCTGACTGAGACTGTAAATGTGAAAAGAGGCTTTAATTCTGTGGGAAGGTGTTGTTGTGGGGTGGGCAGGGGACAGAGACAGATGCCAGCCGCCGTGGAAGCAGAGTCTTTGATGGGGTAAAAATAGGTGAAGTTGTTCACTGCAGATGAGTAAGCAGAAGTAAGGCCATGAGTCCCTGGCTTATTAGGCACTGCTCCACTGGGGATGGTTGTGAGTGGGACTCCCTCAGCAGGCCAGACACAAGTTCTTGAAGGGGCAGAAGGAACCCCAACTCTCAGCAGTAGCAAGACAAACTCTTCTCTTGAAAACAGGCTGGACCTCCCTTTCTTTCTCTCTCTTACAGACTGTGATATTCTGTGTTTGAGGTAAGAACGTAGAAATGAAGAAAGCGGACTAGAACCGCAGGGAGGACATGGGATAACTGTCATTACCTGCCACCATCGGGAAGAAACTAAGTGTACGATTTGTTGGATAAAAAACTGTTGATCTAGTCTGTAAACTTTCACTCAGTTCACAATACAAAGTTTCAAAAAAGAAATGAAAACAGGAGCATAAATCATTGCTCCCTGTTTAAACCTTAGAGCAACCACACACAGGAGTTTGAAACTCAGCTGAAGGATGGAATTGTGCAGACGATGAATGTAGTAACACTGCAAGAAACCCACTTTATGTGTGGTTCGTGTGCTAGTAACCTTAAGGCCTTACATCTTTCTTATGGGTCCTAAAGAGAAGGTTTTTTTTTCCCTCCCTGTAATCATGTAATTTGCTTTGAAATTGAGTGTTGAGGGATTTCAGAAGGCATTGTTGTTGTTGTTAAGTGCCGTGGAGTCGGTTCTGACTCATAGCGACCCTGCACAGGGTTTCCGAGACTGTAAATCTCTACGGTAGCAGAAAGCCTCATCTTTCTCCCGCGGAACAGCTGGTAGTTTCGAACTGCTGGCCTTAAGGTTCACAGCCCGATTCGTAACCACTACGCTACCAGATACATGACTAATATTTCTAAGAGCGATGCCTTTGGATACAAGTGCTTTATTTATTCCATATACAGAGAGAAAAGACTCACATTTATTTAGGGAGATGTGGCGCTCTGGGATCAGCACTGGATTGTTAACCACAAGATTGGCAGTTCAAACCCACCAGCAGTTCTTTGGAAGCCCTATACAGGGTCACTATGAGCCAGAACCAACTTGACAGTACTTAACAACAACAACCTCACAGATGGGAGTCCGGTATGGTGCTGTATGATAATTACTGGACTGCTAAGGACTGGTCGGTGGTTCAAACCCATTAGCTGCTCCTCAGAAACCCTATACAGTGGCACTATGAGTCAGAATAGACTCAACGGCACTTTAACAACAACAACAACATGACATGAGATTCATGCTGTGGCACTGTAGAATCATCGCTGGACTGCTAACCACAGGTTGGTAGTTCAAACCCGCCAACTGCTCTTTGGAAACCCTATACAGGGTTGCTATGGATCGGAATCGACTCGACGGCACTTCACAACAAGTCCTCTGTAACACATAGGGTCGCCTTAATAGCGTGCGTTTGGGATTAGATGCAATGTGGACTCGGAAGCCTTATCAAAACATACCCTTTCTCTGTGATACTAAGATACAGGGTCTACCTCACCCGCTGAATGGGTGTGTGCCCAGCAGGACACTGTTAACATCGGCCCACAGGCATTTGGGAAGTACTGGCTCCTCAAAACCCGACTGTGGACACAATTCATCCTGTGGAAACTCACATGCAGGCTCCTGGAAACACTACAAGTCACGAGGTGTTCTCTGACTCACAGAGGAGGGTACACCTCTTTTCAGATGGAGAGATCTTGTCTTTACTGTGGGTGTTTCCCCTCAGGCTCACTGCATGCATGTTTGAGATCATGTTTTCCAGAAGCCCAAATGCAAACACCCATAGCTTCATACTGCTGAGCAGACACTGGACTGCTAACCACAAGGACAGTGGTTCAAACCCACCCCATCAATCCTTAGGAGTGCTGCAAGTCTGAAACGGCCCCACAGCACTTAACAACGACGACGTAGTGTGGTAGTCACTGATTCAAGTAAAAATGATGGTCCCTGAAACAAACACACACAACACACAAACACTCCTCCAGACCAACAGCACAACTTGGAGTACAGACGAAATGATTTCATCATAAAGAAAGAACACTGAAGAGATATGTATTTGAGGACACAGTTTTAATAACATAGCTGCTTTTTCTGCATCATTAAGCACACTCTAGG